GGCTGCGGAGTACACATGCATGCACTGTGGTGACATGTTTTACCACAAGTCATACAGGCAGCCAAACCTAGCATATGGTGCGTATTTTGCTTGCAAAAACACAATAGAACTACGTGCAATGGCGTCGGAAATTGCAGCTCCAAAACCAGAATGATCTCGACGCCAAAGCGACAAAAAGACGATTTTGAAGCACTTTTTAAAAGGAATTTCAAAAGGAAAATTATTAGCGCCAAAATTGAGAAAATCTGCTGACAAATCACTTTCGCAGCCTTGATGCAGCCATTCCAATACGATTTACGATCTTCAGCTGCAAAAGACAATAGTATTACGCATGCAGCCGCTGCACCAAGCAACCTTGACGCAGCCACTACAATGCGATCTGCAGACTGAGTTGCAAAACACAATAGAACTACGTGCAATGGCGTCGGAAATCACTTTACGCGGAAAAACACAAGGTTTCGTACTCCGGCTTCCTCCCGAACACAAAGCCCATGCAACATCATGCAGCCATTCCAATGCGATCTGCCACCACAGCTTCAAGAAACGCATAGAACTACGCACACAGGAACAACCACATTGCAAAACACATAGGAACAATTCGCGACAGAAACGACCGCAGCCGCAACCGCCGCACAGACGAGGTACCTTTCATCGCCGGCTGCAGCCACTTTACACGGAAAAACACAAGGTTTCGAACTCCGGCTTCCTCCCCAACACAAAGCCCATGCAACATCATGCAGCCAAAAACACAAGGTTTCGTACTCCGGCTTCCTCCCGAACACAAAGCCCATGCAACATCATGCAGCCATTCCAATGCGATCTGCCACCACAGCTTCAAGAAACGCATAGAACTACGCACACAGGAACAACCACTCGTTGCAAAACACATAGGAGGAACAATTCGCGACAGAAACGACCGCAGCCGCAACCGCCGCACAGACGAGGTACCTTTCATCGCCGGCTGCAGCCACTTTACACGGAAAAACACAAGGTTTCGTGCAAGAAACGCATAGAACTACGCACACAGGAACAACCACTCGTTGCAAAACACATAGGAGGACAATTCGCGACAGAAACGACCGCAGCCGCAACCGCCGCACAGACGAGGTACCTTTCATCGCCGGCTGCAGCCACTTTACACGGAAAAACACAAGGTTTCGTACTCCGGCTTCCTCCCCAACACAAAGCCCATGCAACATCATGCAGCCATTCCAATGCGATCTGCTACCACAGCTTCAAGAAACGCATAGAACTACGCACACAGGAACAACCACTCGTTGCACACATAGGAGGAACAATTCGCGACAGAAACGACCGCAGCCGCAACCGCCGCACAGACGAGGTACCTTTCATCGCCGGCTGCAGCCACTTTACACGGAAAAACACAAGGTTTCGTGCAAGAAACGCATAGAACTACGCACACAGGAACAACCACTCGTTGCAAAACACATAGGAGGAACAATTCGCGACAGAAACGACCGCAGCCGCAACCGCCGCACAGACGAGGTACCTTTCATCGCCGGCTGCAGCCACTTTACACGGAAAAACACAAGGTTTCGTGCTCCGGCTTCCTCCCCAAAACATAGCCCATGCAACATTCATGCAGCCATTCCAATGCGATCTGCCACCACAGCTTCAAGAAACGCATAGAACTACGCACACAGGAACAACCACTTGTTGCAAAACACATAGGAGGAACAATTCGCGACAGAAACGACCGCAGCCGCACCCGCCGCACAGACGAGGTACCTTTCATCGCCGGCTGCAGCCACTTTACACGGAAAAACACAAGGTTTCGTGCTCCGGCTTCCTCCCAAAAACAGACCCTTGCAACATCATGCAGCCATTCCAATGCGATCTGCAACCACCCTTCATCAAGGTCAAGTCTCAATCGCACACCACCCTTCAAGGTCAGGTCTCAATCGCACACCACCCTTCAAGATCAAGTCTCTATCGCGCAGCACCCTTCAAGGTCAACTCTCAATCGCGCACCACCCTTCAAGGTCAAGTCTCAATCGCACACCGCCCTTCAAGATCAAGTCTCAATCGCGCAGCACCCTTCAAGGTCAAGTCTCAATCCGATCTGCAACGACCCTTCATCAAGGTCATGTGAAGTCTCACACCACCCTTCAAGGTCAACTCTCAATCGCGCACCACCCTTCAAGGTCAAGTCTCAATCGCACACCACCCTTCAAGATCAAGTCTCAATCGCGCACCACCCTTCAAGGTCAAGTCTCAATCGCACACCACCCTTCACACCACCCTTCACACCACCCTTGAAGGTCAAGTGTCAATCGCGCACCACCCTTTCTCAATCGCGCACCACCCTTCAAGGTCAAGTCTCAATCGCAAACCACCCTTCAAGGTCAAGTGTCAATCGCGCACCACCCTTCATCATTTCAAGACTCAGAATTCTATTTGTCCGTACCTCGGAAGTATTGCTTCCCAACTTCCTTTGATAATGTAATGCTCAATATATTTGAAGGATTTTGAAGGGTTCTGTTACCCTCCTTTACACAAATCATCAACAAACGGTTTTTGGAAACTGCTCTAAAATGGGGTTATAGCATGTTGTAGCCATCACTGGGAAGGGGCACCACATGCCCCAGCTCGCCAGATCACCGTTGGCAAATCGAAGGCTCTAAAAATAGATCCACCAACCGAATCACTTCGCGATGGGGTGGAGACTGTGACATCTGCAAAGTTTACCAGAAGGAACTCTGGGTAAGGTATCATGGTTTTTCTGGCACCACCTCCATCCTGAAAATTCTCTGGATCTTGGGTTTGGACGCATTCTGATTTGTTCTCTGCTAAGTGTGGTATTCGGATGTAAGATGATGTAAGTATTCTGGGCAATTTGTGCGAATTGTAGGGTGGCTCAACATCATTCATGCTGAGGTTGTTGTGAGGTCGTCAGAAAGATCGCAGATTCAGCACTTCAGAAAGAGAATCACGGCAAGCCACGCGCTGTGGCCCGTGGGGACAGTCTACTGCTGGCCCACTAAATCTTGGAGGCCTGAGGGGTTGTCTCAGAATCTGGAACTCGCAAGTCCCACAGGTTTGAAACCTCATTTTTGCATCCCAAAAATGCCATCTGGATGTGTCTGATGAGGAAACAACTGTCAATGGGGAAAATGGTCATCCATTGGAGTTGGGAGTCCCCTTTCAGACGCGAAGGATCCCATCCCCAATCTTAAGACAAGCCCCTGTCATCCACAGACAGTTGCTGTCGTTATCGAACATCTCTGTTCGACAGATTCCATGATTGGCGACAGAGCATGGACTTGGTTCTTGCGGGAATATCTACCGGAGACCATGGTGCTCACCCCCCAGACTTCAGGTTCCTGTTCATGTTCCCCTAAAAATGCGAATTTTGGGAAGAAGGCAACAAAAATACCAGTAGATTCCCCATTCCTGGTGGATTAACTAATGGGAACAAACATCATAACCTGCAGTCAAGCCGGGCTGCGAAACCGGCTTCTCCAATAACTTTGAATCCAAAGTGAACAAGAAATTTCTGGCTGGCTTCTCCGTTGGTGTGTGTTGGCGTTAAATCCTCAACCAGAGAAGGATTGATATATTATCTTAGATAAATGCTATACATAGTATAGATGAACCGGGGGTATCCTTTTGGATTTCTGTGCGCCATGCGCAAATTGGAGGCCCATGACATGTAGAATGACAGCCACATATTGGTCTTTCAGCACTTCACCGGCCAGAGAAAGCAGTACCTGTGAAGATTATGGTCACCAAATGCTCTTGGAGATTGCTTACATTGGATACCCTAGGATAAACAATCTAGCATAGATGTGGAGTAAAAACCCACGGGGAAACTCAGAAAATTATCTACATTCACGGTGGGTAAACTCCACATGGGCTCACTATCAGTCACCCAATGATTGGTGGCTTGGAAATCCTGGATATCTGGATATCCCATTGCTAGATGGTTTCGGTACCAAGAAAACACCACCATTCATGGTTTCGGTACCAAGAAAACTCCACCATTCATGGTTTCGGTGCCAAGAAAACACCACCATTCATGGTTTCGGTGCCAAGAAAACACCACCGTTCATGGTAATCCATGGTACCCAAACCGTTTCTTAAGCTTTACCTTGGTGACACTCCTACCTTGACTCTTCCCGTGCCCATCGCTCTGCTGGCGCCGCGGCCTGGCAGAGGCCGTCCCTATGGGGAATCCTCAACGTTTACATAGCGAACTGGAAAATCAACATGTTTAACGGGTAAATTCAGCTATAAACGGCCATTTGAAAAATAGCTTAGCTATGTTAAATTACCAGAGGGTAATTTGAAGATGAAAATCCACTGATGGAAATGAGAAGCAAAGAAATCATCACATCTGAGAATGGTGCAGGGCGGGGCAGGGTCATAAGATCTCAAACATGGATAGTTCACAGCCATAGAAACAAAAACAAATTACAGTAAATCGTGAGAATGGATGTTGAACAGGAATAGATTCCTCCTCCTTCATTGGAAATCTAGAAACAACAATCGCAACCAGCAACTAGTGAATGCCATCACGAGGACCACGTCTCTCCTGGGAGCTCAAGCCTCTCTTCTGTTGCCAGATTAGGTTGCCAAGGGTCACCAACAAACAGTGAGGTGGAAGTCCCGCGATTGGTTTCAAGTAAGTTTTTCAATTGTCCACATTTGACTCTAAAAGGCAATCCTGCACTCTTTCCCTTAAACCAAGAGGATTGTGAGTACCACCGAAAAGAGTAAATCTTCAGGACGCTTCGATACATTTGACCCATTGCATAGCAATATTTCGGAAAGTTGTTGTCCGACGTAGAAGACACATGATCAGGTGATCATTTGTCTTCCCGTCGGACAACAACTTTCCGAAATATTGCTATGGCTGCTATGGGTCAAATGTATTTTTTTTGCGACAACATCCTGACCCGATATCGATTGTGGGAGCGTCCTGAAGATTTACTCTGGGTGGAAACCCTGGTTTTGGCTGTGGGATGTTTTTGGGCGTTCTATTTTGACCATGTCGCCACAGTGGCGCATCCATCTTTGTCAAAAATGGCGGGTGAACATCGGAGCATTTCAGCTCTCGTTGCTGGCCATCCACGGTCAGGATCCTTGTAGACATCGCTTTCACGGGCAACAGGTGGGGACGGCACCCGTTGGACCAATTCATAGCCAAGATAAAAGACCGGAGTAGCCACGAAACCCGCTGATTGCAGCTGCATATAGCTTTTGACCCCTGAATGGATCAAAGATTGCGTGCAAACCATGGAGTAGAGGGTGGGCAGAAAATCTTGTGCCACAATCTCAAAAGCAGCGGCCAACCCCGCGCAATCTTCCAGGGGTTCAAAGTATAAGACGTTCAAAAGAACCAGCGCAGGTGAATACAACATGCCTTGTAAGAAAGATGCGGTGAGGTACGCCCACATTTCCTCCGAAAAGCTTCCCAGAAACAGGGACAGAATGCCCGCGAGACCGAAGGTAACCTTGGAGCACATTTTGAGTGCGGGGAATGGTTCAAAAAAAAATTGGGCCTGCCCTTAAAAAATATTGAGGGTGGATTCCTCCATGGGAAAATCGAACATCCGACTCATGTTTTTTTCCGGGGGGCCATCATGATCCGGCTCATTTGAGGGATAGACAGCCCACTGGTCGACTGCAAGCATTGTGTTCCAATGACACCTATGGCATCGATGACCGCCCAAGATAGCATGCAGAAGGATGTTGTGATGGGAGATTGACCATAGTTCACCTGGGTCACGTAGCCGATGTTCGAAGTGAAGACCATAAAAGGGACCACTGCACAGAATTCGGTGAAAAGGAGGCAGAGGGGACCTGGTGTGAAGATTTTGCGGAGGCCGAAGAAATAACTACCCTCCTCTTTCTCTTCACTGCTATCGGGGCAGCTTTCAAGCATGTATCTGGCCGCATAGGCAGCATGAGATCCCCAAAGCAGCGCTAAGCAGAAAAAGGAGAAACGCCAACCAAAGACTATACTCGAAAAGCCTCCGAAAATCGGTGCCACCATCTGTGCTACACTACCAACAAGTTGTACTACTGTGATGACCATCATGCGATCCTCGGGTTTTGCGAAGTAGTCCCGACAGGTCGCGAAGACCACAGGCTCCACTGACTCTCCGAGACCCTGTAGAAAGCGCGAAGCCAGAAACCAGTCAGCGTTGGGAGCACATCCACAGCAAAAACTGGCCATCGCCAACAAAGACAAACAGCCGACCATCACAGGTCGACGACCCACGTGATCAGAGATGCCAGCTATCACCAGCCCCATGAGTGCCTTTGTGATACAATTGAATTGCACGGTTGCACTCATGAGCCATTGAGACCCTGACAGGTCCACACCCATCTGCGGAAGACTCGGGGCATATTGGTCTGTACTGAAGTAGACGAATCCATAGGTCGAGCACAGAAAGATCCACCATGTCTTGGAACAGCCATCCTTCACGCGTTCATCTTGTTGAGCCTTCTTTGGCAAACCATACAGAAGCCACGCAAGCACCATCATCAGCAGGCAGAAATAGAGCAGAATCACAACCCCCCTGCTCAGCTGACCCAGAAAATATAATAAGTGCGTCACCTTTTCAGGTTGATAATGTTGATATGTAACCTGCCCAGCATGGTTTCCTTGATCAATGGCCTTCATAAGCCAGATCCATCTCGGGCCATGCGGATGCGACAGCTGTCCCGGGACAGCAACGGTCGCATTCGGCTGCTCCATGTTCACAGAGACCTGGAGAAAACCTGAAAGGATCTCCTCCCCACATGTTTCCGCAACGGTCAGGAGAAATATTGCAAACAACAGCGGCCATCCAATGCATGTCATAGTGACCGCGGCACCACGAGTCGCGTGGGCAGTAGTGACTTCCAGAAAGTCCGGAAGATGCCATGGAGTTTGATAAAAGTTCAGTGGCAAATAAGAACTCGAAATTGAGCCAAGCACGGCCCGAAGGAGCTCAGAATGGTTTCAATCTTTGTTTGGCCAAAGGAAACCACAAATCAGCAGATTCCGGGTGGATCGTTCCAGTGACGTGCAAACCCCATGTGGACCTGATGTGACCAACCAATGGGAGAGCACCACCAAGTCTCTTTCCATAGTGATATCACCCATTTGTTCATTCAATCATCCATGAAAAACAAGCTGTGGATCCACCCGAAAAAATCATCCAAAAAAAAACATCCCAGAAACTTTCCCAACCCCCTGCCCAGCTTGGAGTTGTTTCACCCAGTTCACCATAACGGGACCTCTCATGGCATTGAGATGGTATCAGGCAATGAACCGAAATCCTGGCTGGATGTCTGCATGATCTGGGTAACCAATGGAGATGATGTGTGGATATATGGTCATGGGAGACATGGGGATATCATGGGGATAGAATATGGATATAGTAATTACTAAGATCTGGAGACTCAATTATGAAATGATGATATATGGTGATAATTCACCAACTGGAAGTGTGGGATAGTTCCCCACTACCAACCGTGAGGTCGTTACAAGAAAATCCAAAAGCGTCGGAAAAAAAAATAAGCCTCAGTGGTATCCCCAACAGCCGGAACGTTTTATTTTTACAAATCTTTCTGAAGCGTGCTGGGAAGCCAAGCGCTGGAAACACTTCAGCTGGGTTTCCGTGAGTTAAATGAACCTGACCTGGCTTGGCTTCTGCAACCTTCTCCGGAACCCGTTGAAACTTGGCTTCGCACCAAGGCTTCCTGGAACCTTCTCCGGAACCCTCTCCGGAGCCTTCTCCGGAACCCTCTCCGGAACCCTCTCCGGAACCCTGTTGAACCTGACCTGGCTCTGCACCAAAAGCCTCCCAGACCTTCTCCGGAACCTTCTCCGGAACCTCGTTGAACCTGACCCGGCGCCTGCACCAACGCACACCGGAGCTATTCTGGGCTGAAGACCCCATTAGCTTACGCTGTTGGGTGAAAAAAACAATCCTAGCTGTTCTTGCTTAAATCCATGCAAATCATCATCTTCCATCCCCAATCTTAAGACAAACCCCTGTCATCCGCAGACAGTTGCTGTCAAGAGATGTGTTATCGAACATCTCTGTTCGACAGATTCCGTGGTGGGCGACAGAGCATGGACTTGGTTCTTGCGGGAAAATCTACCGGAGACCATGGTGCTCACCCACAAAACTTCAAGTGCCTGTTCATGTTCCCCTAAAAATGGCAATTTTGGGAAGAAGGCAACAAAAATACCAGTAGATTCCCCATTCCTGGTGAATTAACTAATGGGAACAAAAATCACTAGACGACGGATGGCCCGAGAGCGTAGAGGAGCAGAGTCTTTTCTTGTTAGTATGGAGACACCATATTACAAAACAATATTAATGATGTGTTATACGCAGTCGAAAAGAGGAGTATCAAGACGATATAGCATAAGTACAAGACAATAGTTTGCATCGCAAACACTTTTACACACAGAAGCTTTTACACAGAGCAAGCTTTTACACAGAGAACCCCTTACGCAGAGAAGCTTTTACAGACAGACGCTTTTACACACAGACACTTTACACACAGACGCTTTTACACACAAGGCACTTTTACACACAGACACTTTTACACACAGGCGCTTTTACATACAGACATTTTTACACACAGACGCTTTTTTACACACAGTTGCTTTTACACAGACGCTTTTACACACAAAGCTCTTACCCACAGAAGCTTTTACAGACAGAAGCCTTTACACACAGACGCTTTTGCACAGACGCTTTTTCACACAGACACTTTTACACACAGACGCTTTTACACACAGACACTTTTGCACACAAAAGCTTTTAGACACAGACGCTTTTACACACTAACACTTTTACACACAGACGCTTTTACACAGAGACGCTTTTACACACAGACGCTTTTACACACAGACGCGTTTACACACAGACGCTTTTACACACAGACACTTTTACACACAGACGCTTTTACACACAAACACTTTGACACACAGACACTTTTGCACACAAAAGCTTTTACACACAGACGCTTTTACAAACTAACACTTTTACACGCAGACGCTTTTACACACAGACGCTGTTACACATAGACGCTTTTACACACAGACGCGTTTACACAGAGACGCTTTTACACACAGGACATCGCAATTTGCTATAGTTTTGGGCGATTGAACCTCATCTCATGCGAAATGGTCGCGATTAGACAAGAGAAATTACAATTTCACTTCAGTTTTTGACGATCGAACCTCGTTTCGTGCGAAAGGGTTGCGCGGATCAAAGTGAAATCGTAATTTTACCTCAGTTTTTGACGATCGAACCTCATTTCGTGCGAAAGGGTTGCGCGGAACAACTTGAACTCGCACTTTTACCTCAGTTTTTGACGATCGAACCTCATTTCGTGCGAAAGGGTTGCACGGGACGACTTGAACTCGCACTTTTACCTCAGTTTTTGACGATCGAACCTCATTTCGTGCGAAAGGGTTGCGCGGGACGACTTGAACTCGCACTTTTACCTCAGTTTTTGACGATCGAACCTCATTTCGTGCGAAAGGGTTGCGCGGGACGACTTGAACTCGCACTTTTACCTCAGTTTTTGACGATCGAACCTCATTTCGTGCGAAAGGGTTGCGCGGGACGACTTGAACTCGCACTTTTACCCCGCAGTTTTTGACGATCGAACCTCATTTCGTGCGAAAGGGTGCGCGGGACACCTTGCAAATCGCAATTTTACCACAGTTTTTGGCGATCCAACCTCGTTTCGTGCGAAAGGGTTGCGTTTCGTACCGTCTCGTTGGCACTGCCCCTGCCCCCGCCTTCAGAAGAGAAATAGAAAAGAAGGAGAGGGCAAGAGGAGAAGATGTGAAGATGTGAGGATGTGAAGATGTGAAGATGTGAGGATGAGAAGATGTGAAGATGAGCAGATGTGAAGATGAGAAGATGTGAAGATGAGAAGATGTGAAGATGAGAAGATGTGAAGATGAGAAGATGTGAAGATGTGAAGATGTGAAGATGAGAAGGTGTGAAGATGAGAAGATGCGAAGATGAGAGGATGTGAAGATGAGAAGATGTGAAGATGAGAAGATGAGAAGATGAGATACAGACCCCCACTATTGGAAGAACCCTGCGCTCAGACGCTCTCGGGAATAACCTGCAGTCAAGCCGGGCTGCGAAACCGGCTTCTCCAATAACTTTGAATCCAAAGTGAACAAGAAATTTCTGGCTGGCTTCTCCGTTGGTGTGTGTTGGCGTTAAATCCTCAACCAGAGAAGGATTGATATATTATCTTAGATAAATGCTATACATAGTATAGATGAACCGGCGGTATTCTTTTGGATTTCTGTGCGCCATGCGCAAATTGGAGGCCCATGACATGTAGAATGACAGCCACATATTGGTCTTTCAGCACTTCACCGGCCAGAGAAAGCAGCACCTGTGAAGATTATGGTCACCAAATGCTCTTGGAGATTGCTTACATTGTATACCCTAGGATAAGCAAGCTAGCATAGATGTGGAGTAAAAACCACGGGGAAACTCAGAAAATGATCTACATTCATGGTGGGTAAACTCCACATGGGCTCACTATCAGTCAACCAATGATTGATGGCTTGGGTCCGAAATCCTGGATATCTGGATATCCCATTGGTAGATGGTTTCGGTACCAAGAAAACACCACCATTCATGGTACCCTTCGTTTCTTGCTTCACCTTGGTGACACTCAGGCGCCGCGGCCTCGCAGACCTGGCCGTCCCCATGCAAAATCCTCTGTTTCGCAGAGGTTTTACGAATGGAATGCTCTGGTAAACGTTTACATAGCGAACTGGAAAATCAACATGTTTAACGGGTAAATTCAGCTATAAACGGCCATTTGAAAAATAGCTTAGCTATGTTAAATTACCAGAGGGTAATTTGAAGATGAAAATCCACTGATGGAAATGAGAAGCAAAGAAATCATCACATCTGAGAATGGTGCAGGGCGGGGCAGGGTCATAAGATCTCAAACATGGATAGTTCACAGCCATAGAAACAAAAACAAATTACAGTAAATCGTGAGAATGGATGTTGAACAGGAATAGATTCCTCCTCCTTCATTGGAAATCTAGAAACAACAATCGCAACCAGCAACTAGTGAATGCCATCGCGAGGACCACGTCTCTCCTAGGAGCTCAAGCCTCTCTTCTGTTGCCAGATTAGGTTGCCAAGGGTAACCACCAAACAGTGAGGTGGAAGTCCCGCGATTGGTTTCAAGTAAGTTTTTCAATTGTCCACATTTGACTCTAAAAGGCAATCCTGCACTCTTTCCCTTAAACCAAGAGGATTGTGAGTACCACCGAAAAGAGTAAATCTTCAGGACGCTTTGATACATTTGACCCATTGCATAGCAATATTTCGGAAAGTTGTTGTCCGACGTAGAAGACACATGATCAGGTGATCATTTGTCTTCCCGTCGGACAGCAACTTTCCGAAATATTGTTGTGGGTCAAATGTATTTTGTTAGAGCGGCAACATCCTGACCCGATATCGATTGTGGGAGCGTCCTGAAGATTTACTCTGGGTGGAAACCCTGGTTTTGGCTGTGGGATGTTTTTGGGCGTTCTATTTTGACCATGTCGCCACAGTGGCGCATCCATCTTTGTCAAAAATGGCGGGTGAACATCGGAGCATTTCAGCTCTCGTTGCTGGCTATCCACGGTCAGGATCCTTGTAGACATCGCTTTCAAAGGCAACAGGTGGGGACGGCACCCGTTGGACCAATTCATAGCCAAGATAAAAGACTGGAGTAGCCACGAAACCCGCTGATTGCAGCTGCATATAGCTTTTGACCCCTGAATGGATCAAAGATTGCGTGCAAACCATGGAGTAGAGGGTGGGCAGAAAATCTTGTGCCACAATCTCAAAAGCAGCGGCCAACCCCGCGCAATCTTCCAGGGGTTCAAAGTATAAGACGTTCAAAAGAACCAGCGCAGGTGAATACAACATGCCTTGTAAGAAAGATGCGGTGAGGTACGCCCACATTTCCTCCAAAAAGCTTCCCAGAAACAGGGACAGAATGCCCGCGAGACCGAAGGTAACCTTGGAGCACATTTTGAGTGCGGGGAATGGTTCAAAAAAAAATTGGGCCTGCCCTTAAAAAATATTGAGGGCGGATTCCTCCATGGGAAAATCGAACATCCGACTCATGTTTTTTCCGGGGGGCCATCATGATCCGGCTCATTTGAGGGATGGACAGCCCACTGGTCGACTGCAAGCATTGTGTTCCAATGACACCTATGGCATCGATGACCGCCCAAGATAGCATGCAGAAGGATGTTGTGATGGGAGATTGACCATAGTTCACCTGGGTCACGTAGCCGATGTTCGAAGTGAAGACCATAAAAGGGACCACTGCACAGCATTCGGTGAAAAGGAGGCAGAGGGGACCTGGTGTGAAGATTTTGCGGAGGCCGAAGAAATAACTACCCTCCTCTTTCTCTCCACTGCTATCGGGGCAGCTTTCAAGCATGTATCTGGCCGCATAGGCAGCATGAGATCCCCAAAGCAGCGCCAAGCAGAAAAAGGAGAAACGCCAACCAAAGACTATACTCGAAAAGCCTCCGAAAATTGGTGCCACCATCTGTGCTACACTACCAACAAGTTGTACTCCTGTGATGACCATCATGCGATCCTCGGGTTTTGCGAAGTAGTCCCGACAGGTCGCGAAGACCACAGGCTCCACTGACTCTCCGAGACCCTGTAGAAAGCGCGAAGCCAGAAACCAGTCAGCGTTGGGAGCACATCCACAGCAAAAACTGGCCATCGCCAACAAAGACAAACAGCCGACCATCACAGGTCGACGACCCACGTGATCAGAGATGCCAGCTATCACCAGCCCCATGAGTGCCTTTGTGATAAAATTGAATTGCACGGTTGCACTCATGAGCCATTGAGACCCTGACAGGTCCACACCCATCTGTGGAAGACTCGGGGCATATTGGTCTGTACTGAAGTAGACGAATCCATAGGTCGAGCACAGAAAGATCCACCATGTCTTGGAACAGCCATCCTTCACGCGTTCATCTTGTTGAGCCTTCTTTGGCAAACCATACAGAAACCACGCAAGCACCATCATCAGCAGGCAGAAATAGAGCAGAATCACAACCCCCCTGCTCAGCTGACCCAGAAAATATAATAAGTGAGTCACCTTTTCAGGTTGATAATGTTGATATGTAACCTGCCCAGCATGGTTTCCGTGATCAATAATGAACTTCATAAGCCAGACTTCCGGAAAGTCCGGAAGATGCCATGGAGTTTGATAAAAGTTCACTGGCAAATAAGAACTCGAAATTGAGCCAAGCACGGCCCGAAGGAGCTCAGAATGGTTTCAATCTTTGTTTGGCCAAAGGAAACCACAAATCAGCAGATTCCGGGTGGATCGTTCCAGTGACGTGCAAACCCCATGTGGACCTGATGTGACCAACCAATGGGAGAGCACCACCAAGTCTCTTTCCATAGTGATATCACCCATTTGTTCATTCAATCATCTATGAAAAACAAGCTGTAGATCCACCCGAAAAAATCATCCAAAAAAAAACATCCCAGAAACTTTCCCAACCCCCTGCCCAGCTTGGAGTTGTTTCACCCAGTTCACCATAACGGGACCTCTCATGGCATTGAGATGGTATCAGGCAATGAACCGAAATCCTGGCTGGATGTCTGCATGATCTGGGTAACCAATGGAGATGATGTGTGGATATATGGTCATGGGAGACATGGGGATATCATGGGGATAGAATATGGATATAGTCGTTACTAAGATCTGGAGGCTCAATTACTAAATGATGATATATGGTGATAATTCACCAACTGGAAGTGTGGGATAGTTCCCCACTACCAACCGTGAGGTCGTTACAAGAAAATCCAAAAGCGTCGGAAAAAAATAAGCCTCAGTGGTATCCCCAACAGCCGGAACGTTTTATTTTTACAAATCTTTCTGCAGCGTGCTGGGAAGCCAAGCGCTGGAAACACTTCAGCTGGGTTTCCGTGAGTTAAATGAACCTGACCTGGCTTGGCTTCTGCAACCTTCTCCGGAACCCGTTGAAACTTGGCTTTACACCAAGGCTTCCTGGAACCTTCTCCGGAACCCTCTCCGGAACCCTCTCCGGAACCTTCTCCGGAACCCTGTTGAACTTGACCTGGCTCTGCACCAAAGCCTCCCAGACCTTCTCCGAAACCTTCTCCGGAACCTCGTTGAACCTAACCCGGCGCCTGCACCAATGCACACCGGAGCTATTCTGGGCAGAAGACCCCATTAACTTACGCTGTTGGGGAAAAAAACAATCCTAGCTGTTCTTGCTTAAATCCATGCAAATCATCATCTTCATTTGGCAAATCCCGATAAATCCTCATGTTAGTTCTCCGCAATGCCTCAAAAGGTCTGTTGGGTCACCCCCTTTGGGTCTGAAAATGGAGTATACCCTCTATTCCTTGCCATTTTCAACAAGGGATTTTTATCAGCGATTCCAGTCATTAGCAAATCCGTGTCATGTTCTACCATCCCTGGCTAATATGGGGGTTTCCAATGGGGATACCCAAAATAGTTGGTTGATGGAAAATCCATCTATAAATGGATGACAACTGGGGTACCCCCATGACTTAGGAGACCTCCATATATGGAGATGTTACTGGATTTAAACCATATTTTTTAAAGGGATGTTCCAATTACTTTAACCAAGTTTAAGCCATAAATTCTCTTGTTAACCAGACTTGTTCATGGTTTTAGAATGTTTTGAATATCTGCAATATCAAACAAACCCAGCCCAAATTGGTAGCACCATCCCCGGCTCCTCCTTCTTGGCCTGCACCTTCTCCGCCGGCGGATCGGGCTTCGCAGGGGTCTTGAAGCCGCCTTTAGCTGGGGCAGCTACAATGACTACAACCATCATGAGTAGTTAGTATGTTATTGTAAGAATATTATTTGAAAAAAAAACATGGCTAGTCACTATGACACTATGAATTATTATCACTATATGAATACAAACCATTATGAGCAATACTGTGCTAAGAATTTACTACTTAGCTACTATTAGGAAAATGATTGTGTTAGCACTAGACTATAACTTACTAGGAATTTTCAGAATGACACTGATCTGGTTTTCTAGTACTAACTAGCACCCAAACAAAATGCAGATTTTAGTAAATTATCGATCCTGCTTTTCAATCATGCGTGCATAAATCGTTCTTTTTCTGCATATTTGTGGGGGTTGCCACAAATCATTGTACATAATTCACCCAACCCTGAATAAGGTCACGTGCTGCTATGTGACTGTTGAATTTGTAAACTCTGGGTGCTTCGTTACAACAAACCCAACAAAATCAGTATTTTGGCCATTTTGGCCACACCGAAGTTGCACCGCCTCCTCATTTTTTCAGCTCCGCGAAAGTCCCATGCCAGTTTGCCTAAAGTTTCCATCTGTTTCGCTTGGTTCAGCAGGTGATAACACCACAGGAGGCTCTATTGCATATTTGTCCATCGCTGGATTTTGCATTTCTTCCACTTTGTTGTTCAGGGACTTTGGCAGAAATCACCCAAAGCTTGCCACCACCGATCAAAGACTTGTTACAGCGCAGCATCAAGTGCAAAAAGAAGTTACGGAGCATGAAGTGCAAGAAGAAGTTACAGCGTAGCATCAAATGCAAGAAGTAAGGTCATTGTTTGCGGTGGTTACCTTAACATCATTCACGGCGTTCGGTCCAGTGAGGTCGCATCATTTCTCCAAATTGATGGTTAAGTGAGGCTTCACTGAAAATATATGGTACTTACTTGGCTAATATCTATGATCCACTCCCAAGAATTGTGGCTAAAAATTCGGCGCGGGCCATCAAGTTTTGTCAAATTCACCACACAAAAATGAGATGGATGATCTTGGGTGGGCCCTTGTGTAATTCGTTGTTACGCCTTTAGGGTCCACCGCCTGTCTTTCTGGGTGTTGTGTGCGTAGCAGGGCACCTCTGTGTTGGGATGAGGGGGCTTTGTCCGCCACTTTGACGCCAGGTGGGCTCCCCAAACGCTAAGTTGGTTTCAAACTGGTGGTTATAAACCGCCAAAAAACAATACCTATTCCATAACATTACAACTACACGAACTGTTGGGTTTATGATGATAGATTGTAGCTAAATTGGTTTGTCTGAAAATGGGGTACCCCCAAACCAACTCGCCATATTTTCAGACACACCCAGATAACTAATAAAACCTGTACAGCAACCCCCAAAAAAAATAGAAAAGCTAGAAATGTGGGAATTATGGGGAAAACATCATCAAACTACCACCCTGGAAACCCTTCTTTATCTTTTTGGGGGTACTAAGTACTGGAATTCAACCTATAATCAATATAAATGTGGAAACTAACCATAGATTTCTCTTAAATCCACCATTTCTAGAAAAATGTCAGTCGAAACCATGGCTGTTCCCTCCACTTTTTCCATGGTTTTCACTCTCCAGGAGAAAGGCACCTGGCGGAGGCTGAATGAGGCGCTCCCCGTGGCAGGCGTCGCACTTGCCGCTGCCCGGCCCGAAGTCCCGCGCCAGACTGCCGTCGCCCACGCCGCCGCACTGCCTTCCCGTGAGCTTCATCGGAAACTTCACCGGGACCCAAAACGAGGGACACGGCCTTTTTTTAAAGGATGGGTGAAGGTTGTGAAATACTTTGGCTATCTCATCCATGAAAAATCCCTAAAATTGGGAGTTCTCAGATACATTTCACCACAAAAAAAGACTGGTTTCAATGGAGATTTAACCACTAAGAATTGTTTTGGTGGAGGTTCACATCATTCCATTTTGGGGGATTTGTTTGTTTCGAGCATTTCACAAAGTTGACCCAAAAAAGAAACTCCAAAACTTGTGATTCAACCTGAACAAAACACCAAATGAATCAGCAAAGATGATTCCCCATGGGCACCTGCAGCCTCTGGGCCGCCGGCCCTGAGGAATCGGCATGTGCCTGGCGAGTCACCATGGTTTCAATGCTAAGTCATTGTTGAAATTACGTCATTTAAAAAGTCTTCATCATGGGAAGGAGTCTGAAGAAGTGTTCAAAATTCATGTTGGCTAATTGAATGGCTGAATTCCAGGGAAACTCTACATGAAACCATGGTCTTACAGGAAATATGGGGTTAGACCCTGGATTTGTTCTTTTCAACCAAATCTGGGATGATGGGAATACAATGGGAATATATAACCAACACTATTGTGGTTTGGGGTTCAATAGGGTTTTGTCCGCCAGTGCGGATAACCAAAACATTGCATCAAACCGACAAAGTGATGTGCATATCACAGTGAATATTATAACGGGATACCCTGTGTCGGTAGCCAGGTTGCTTCAGCCACAAGTTTCAAAAGGGGTTTGGCACAGTTACACTTCTCGATTTGTGCACGGCGGACTTTTCCACCCTTGTCAATGGCCTGTCGGGCCACTCAGCGCAGCTAACGCCACAGCAATATGGCTGAAGCCTGAATTGGCCGAAGGTGCACCTAAGTAAAAGGGCGGTTCGAGCCACAGGGCACACCCGGAGTGTGATCAACCTGGCAACAGCGAGCATGAAGTGTTTTGGGGTCGATGGTAGCAGGGATATCGGTAGCTGAAGTTGCCATATCAACATGCCCCGTGATCACACGGCGGGTTGGAACCATCAGGTCTAGCCAAGTATGGTCTCTGGGCACTTGTGACCCCTCATCCTCAGTCTTGGTCGCCAGCTTCTTGTACACTTTCTTCGCCGCAGTGAACGTCTCATCGTGCAAGATGTTCCATTGCTGTCCACCTGCTAGGAAAGCACGAAGAGCATCTTGAGCAGCTGGTTTCGTTAAGCCATCAGCCAACTGCTGAGAGCTGTTCACCCATCTTAAGCTGGTCTGCTGCTTCTCCAGGTTCTGGGTAAGGACCAGCAGTTCCAAAGCCGAGTACTTGTCCTTCATGTTGAAGGAAGGCAGATCACCTTGAAGAACTGCATCATAAAGGGCTTTGGCATCGGTGACCAAAATTCCGCGAACCTTCTTGGCCGTCTCGGCCGGGTCCTGAAGGATCACCTCATCGCCCAGAATCTCCCGCCACTGGATGCGGACGAACATCAGCTCCTGCTCCGCCTCAGCCAGTGCCTGAGTCTCAGCTGCCAGACTTGAGCGGCATACTCTGCGCAGCTTAGAGCTGCCCCAACTGATCACATTCACCGGGCCACGTTGTCCTTCGTCAACCATGCGCCGGTGAACAAAGCCAATCAGCATGCCACCAGTACTTGTAAGGTCAACTCTGTTGGCCAATGCAGCGTCGGACCACGCCACAGCCACCAGATCATCCGGGTCTTGTGCTTGAAGGTCGTAGATGTTCAGGCCAATGTCTTTCTGGCCATAGATCTCCCTCACAAATTTGTTGACCTCGGCGATGATCTTCCGGTCGGCCTTGGGCAGAACGCTCTGCAAATGGCTTAGCTTGGCAGCATGATGGGGAGCCGTCTGGTAGACTCTCCATTGTGCGGCCCCAAGGACAGCACGGCATTGATGCCGTTCGGACTCCGTCAGGTCCTTGGTGGTACCGTCCTCGATCACTTGTCCAATGCCACTGCAGAAGTCCTTCTGGTGTAAGAACCACCCAGGGAGGCCATTGTGGTAGGTCTCCTCGATCTGAACACCACAGTGCACCAAAGGCGGTGTTTCCCAGGGACTCCACTTCATGGACTTGTGGAAGTCTTCCAGGAACTGCACCCATGCTGGATGCTTCTCATCTCCGCAGAGTAGGAAGTCGTCCACGTGCACTCCCACAAGACCAATCGTGCGTAGTTCTTGGGTTTGAGGATCTGTAGCTCGTAGTCGCCAGATACATGGTTCCGTTTGCAGTCTGGAGAGCTTAAGCTTGTTGAGGATCTCGGCCACGTAGAGGTAAAAGTCTCTAGGTGCCACAGTCAGCCCATAGGCGGACTTCAGAAACTTCACGGCTTGATCCTCTTCCAGTTGAAGTGCTTCCTTCAGCTCCTTGACTGGTCTGCCGTAGATGTTCCTGACACTTTGCGTAGGACCACCTTGCAAGAAAGCAGCTTTTGCATCGGCTTTCAGAAAGCCCCAATTGTTCAGACTGGTAGCCTGGAGCATCAATTGTCGACCACGGCGACTGAGGGTAGGACTTCGGACATTGACCAATCCAACATCCGGGTCTGTAAAGCCCAGCACGACTAAACGTGCTTTTGCTTTGAGGGTTCCAGGATCGTCGGTGCTCTTGAACGTCAGCACCCATCTCATCTTCATCAACCGATCCTGTGGTACTTTGCCAATTGCTCCCTCACAGACACGTGAAGTCAGCCACTCATTGATCTCCAAGGCTTTTGCTTCAGTCATGGCTGAGCGTTGTTGTACGTTCAGCTTCTGCCAACTTACTTCGACACCTTTCGCCACCTTCTTCGCCACAAAGCGACTAGGGTCCTTCACAATTGCCCGCCACTCGTCCTCATTCTTTGGAGCGGGGATGGTGACGGCGAAAACCAAATCCTCGAAGTCACCGGCAGGCAAGGTCTCATCCACATCCATATAGAGAGCGTGATGCGCTCCTGTAGAACCTGGAACTTCTCCATGTTGTAGGAATTCTCCTCTCTGTACATGGTGAGGTCGTTCCAGTCGTTCATGGCGGCGACGTGCCTCCAAGAACTGAGGATGTTGAAATAGTGGACCTGAGCTCTGTGAAGAAAATGGCATGTACTCAGGGTCGTGGATCATGCGATCGATGTCAACATCGTCCTTGACAGTGTCAGCAATCGATGGTGTGTAACCATCGGACTCCTCAGCTTGCTCATCCTCAAGGCGTGGCATCTTGTTCTCGCCATGCCCCGTTGACATTGCGTCCTCTTCTTCCTGCTCTTCCTCCAAGATCCGCTTCTGTTGTCCAGAGCGATCAATTCCAGACGTAATGGGACCGGCTCGCTTCTTCTGTGTGTCTCTGACCATTTGTTTGTGGGTCATGGTCACGTCATCAAACTCTCCTTTGTTGATCAGCGATGTCAGGTCTCCAAACGTCCATGGTGTAGCCAAGGTAGAGCTGGAAGATTTTGCAACGACACGTTCTCGTTCTGAAGCAAAGCGAAGTTGTTGTGAAGTCACCCGCTTCAGTCTTCCAGAGGCAATGATCCAAGCAATCTGCTTGGGGGATCGTCCATCTCCATCATAGGTGACTCTGGTCTCCAGGGCCAGCACTCTCGCAGGACCATACCAACGAGCCACACGCCTCCGTGGAATGTCCAGGGGAATGTGAGAACGTTCTTGTTTGTCTTGAGGTGGCTGATAGCGCTTGTAGAAGACAAGGTCGCCCGGGTGGTAATTCACCAAGTTGGGCATTCTGGTGTTGTTGGCCTGCTTGATCTTCTCGTTCAGCGTGAACTCTTGGTGCTTCTGTCCGGCATCAAGTCGCAGTTGAAGACGTTGTCGCATCTTCTCCTCTGATGACATTCCGGCCCAATAGGGTAGATCGGGTCCATCATGGAGTCGATCGCCATCAGTGGGATTGCGACCAAATACCCATTGCATAGGACTGTAGCCACCAATGTTGGACATGGTGTTGTGTGCTGCCACCATGGCCCATGTTGCCAGTTCTGGCGGTGCTGATGAAGATCTCAGTTGAGCCAACAACTTCCTCTTCAAAGTGCCAATCAGCCTCTCGACCTTTCCAATCTGTCCATGTGCTTCGGCAGGGATTCCTTCAAGTTCAACTCCATGAGCTTCTGCCCATTCATCCAGCTGTTTGCTGCGATGGGCACCCTCCTTGTCCAGCTTGATGCATCGTGGGTAGCCGAAGTACTGGATCCAGCCTTGATGTAGGTGTTGAAGAACTTCCATACCAGACGGGCAACGGCTTTCTCGGGCAGGATGAGAAAAGAAGAAGTTTGCTGCCCCGTAGCCTGAAGCCTCATCCACCAAGACTTGGAAGTGGTAGGTCGTGTCGTCGACAGTGAACTCCATGTTGTCGACTTGCAACACTTCCCATAGTTGGGTTGCATGCTCCAGGGTCACAGCTCGGCGTGCTGGTGGCATCAGGGATTCTTCACAGTCCATGCACTTCATGTTGGAGGCTATGGTTCTCACCATTGAAGACGCTCCTCTGTCACGCAGCATCTTCACAAAGGCTTGTCTACTGGGGTGGCCTAGCTTCTTGTGAAGACTCATCAGTTCCTTGGCCACTCTCATCAACTCCTGGTCAGTGAACTGCTTGAGGCATTCAGGATCATTGTCAGAAGAATCCTGCGCAGCAAAGACTTGTTGTTCTTGTTCTTCGTGAATCTTCTTGACAATCCTGGCCACCTGTTGACACATAGCCTTTGGGTAGAGCGCTGATGCTCTCGTTCGGTTACCTCCTTCACAGGGAACATGTGGCTCTTCGCAAGTGCACAGGCGCTGCAGTTGCCAGATGTTCTTTGAAGTGCATTTCACTCTCCAGGGTTTCTTCATCAGGCCTTCGTCAGTTCGTAGTCCATAGGCACAGCCATCCACTGCAGCCTCATACGCAGTCACGCTTCTCCAGAAGCCCTGTATGGACCTGAACTGCCAAGCCTTGTTGTAGCGCGGCCATTCTTGGCCAACATCCCGTTTCTCAGCCACCTGCATCTCCATCAGATGTACTGCACGAGCTGCAAGTCTCTTCGATTTTCTCACCTTCTCCTGCACCTTGTTGAAGCCTTCAGGGGTGAGCATGTTGAGCTCCTGGATGCTGCTGGTTGGACCACACGGCAGTGAGATCCAAAGTAGATCTGGCCTCTCATCGCGCAACATCTTAACTACCTTGTTGAAGCCTGCATTCTTGTTGAGGTCGCAGCCGTTGAAGAGACCACACCTTATACCTTTTCCTCCAAGAGCTTCTACTGCCTTCGTGATACCGCTGTTCTCCTCACAGCAGATCTCCATCACCTTGAAGGGTTCCTTCTGTTGGTGGGCCATGACGCTGTGAAAGAGCTCCTCGTACTCCTCCACATA